CTTTCCAACCCAAACCATTCTATGATTTGTTAATTAACAAGTTATTATAGTTGATAGGTAGAGTGGAAGGAAACATTCAGGTGGATAGTTTAGCCTAGCATCCTATCCTAGAGAGGCTTTATTTCACCTGTTTTTTGGCCATAGACCTAAAAAAAAAAAAGTGTATTTTGTTTCTGACGTAGTCAATTAAAATATTTTGAAATGTCAGTGTGTAAAATAATTGCCTTTTTATGGCATGTTGTTCTGTTGCAGAATACTGCCTGCAGAGAAGCTTCTGCTTCACTTGCCTTTAAGTGAAAATTAAAATCCCTCACCCTACCACACACCCTAAAAATAGGTTACTTCCATCATGAGCTAGAAAAATATTTAAGTGGTAGAAAAAAGTTAGTACTCAAATTTCTGAACCTCAGTTTTGGAAATAACAGATGTACTGCTACTTTGTACTTAAACCTATATTTCATGTGCTCTCATGTACAGTGACAGCGTGATGTTAAAGCCTGTGTGCTTCCAGTATTTTCGTCAGCTCTCCTTTCTAGAACATTTGTGTCTTAGCCGATGTTATCAGATATCACCTGCTGCCTTAGTGTAAGTAATCTCTCAATGGCTTTGGTTTGCTATTCATACAGAGGATAAGTTAATTTGTTGGGTTTAAAATTTGCAAGTACTGTTTTGAAAAACTTGCTGGTATGAGGTATTAGGACTAAGGAATTGAGACCAAATAATTTGGCTGCTAGAGCGTGTACTTTTGAGAATCTAGGCTGGAACCAAAGGTATGAGAATCTTTCTGTTATGTCAGTCTGTACTCATGGAACTTGCTGCTCAGTGCATGCCTCATATCTTTCCTTAATGGCATTATACTACTGCTACTCATTACTATGAGGTACAGCTGGAGGTTCCAGTCCTGACAGTGACCGGTAACAGTGTCAGTATTAGGCATTGATCCATACAGCAAGGCACAGTCCTTTGAAAAAGTTAACAGTTGACAGTACTTGCTGACTAGCTAATCTGTTTATGTTGCTTTTATTTTCTGTGCACTTGTATCAGTTATTGGTTGCCACTGAAACAGCTTAGAGTTACTTGCTTGTGGGGTTTTTTTCTGGCTTTTAGTAGTATAGCAGCTATCCAACTTTATCTTCTCAGGAAGGATGTCATAGCAGGAAAAAGATTGTGAGAAGAATAGGACTATCAAAATGGGAATCTGAAGAACCTTTTCTGTAGTAGTGTGTGCTGTCATGAGGATAGCTTATGTGTCTCTGCCTTTCAATTTTGTCCGATACTTGCTTATAGATACACAGTAGATACACAGTTCACATGGTGACCAGGCAAACATGAAGCAATCAAGAACCCAAGGCTGGCTTCTTACCAGTGCATCATAACAAATTGGAGACTGATAGTACCTAAGGGCTTGCATCCTCTGAGCCACATCCTGAAACTTCATCTGGGGCAATTTCTTCCACTTGCTTTAAATATTTAAGTCCAGGGAAATGAAAGGGGAGGAACCAGTTTAGTTTTGCTTTGTGACAGAGAGAGAACAGCAAGAAGCAATTTATTCAGCTGGTTTCCTGAATTATCAGTACAGAGAACTAGTTTCAGTTAAATGGGTGCTTTTAGAAAGTAGGAAGGGACATTTAGCTTAATTAGTTACCTTACTTGTGAAAAATTAGAAATGCAGCAATCTAATTCGGGTACAGACTGAAAAAAAAAATTTCAGGTTCCTGGTTAATTTCCTATTTTTCTCTTTCTAGAGAACTTGGTGAAATTCCAACATTAAAGACTCTTCAAGTGTTTGGAATAGTGACTGATGGATGCCTAAAGCTCCTCAAGGAAACTCTTCCCAACATGAAGATCAATTGTTCACATTTTACAAGTATTGCAAGGCCAACTGTTAGTAGTAAAAAGAACCATGAGATCTGGGGCATCAAATGCAGATTGACACTGAGAAACCCTAGTCACTTCTGATCATGTTAAATGCACTGGATGCAATGGACACAGTGTATATAGTGAAGCCCCTTAAGAAGCAGAGTGCTGGAGCACCTTTAATCATAATACTGTTATTGTAAAAACCTTTCTAACTTGGGCTTACACCTTAATGTAGTAAACATTTTTACAGGGGTTTTTTACTTAAAGCCTTTAGAAATCTGATGATCTGTGAGCAACTGATTTCTTTAAGTCCTTTTTTTTTTTCCACAGGAGAGCTTTTTTAAGAAATACTATGAAATAATCATTATAATTATCCAATGTCAGCCTACTGTTGCAGGTTCTGATGCAGCTTTTGTTGCTCTAAGGTGTTCTAAAGGCGCTTTTGGTTAACTCTTCCAGCTCTACAACTCCTCAAATGGCTTGTATCAATGCCAGGTATCTTAAGACTTATTAAGGAATTGTCTTGATCTGAGTTCACAGAACTCAATGAATAATGGTATTAAACCTATTCAAATCCTTAATTGAACAAGATGTGCAGTAAGATGAGAAGCTACTCACTATTTCTAAGAGGGACAAAGGACTGAGTCTGAATTCACCAAACCTGAAACAGTAAATAGGGGAAGGGGTGTCGACATGAAAGCAGCTAAGAGCTCAATACTGTCCAAGTTAAGAAGCCATATAAAGGAGCTAAAGTGAAGTTTTTCTTTAGCAGCCCACAAGGGTAACATCTATTTTTAGTATTCTTCAATGCTAGCAAAATATAATCTGAAAAGCCCATTCAGAATAAGAATCTGTAAAAGCAGATGCTGGTTAAACTTGTTTCATGCTCTGGTGCTAGATTTTCTGATTAAATATTATGGAAGTTTAATGTAGCTTCTGTGAGCTTGATATTGGATAAAACTTCTTAAAGATGTTCTCTTACTTCCTTTAAAGAATAAGATCTTCCAACTGCAACTAATAAACTGGCAGAAATCTTGCAGGAGGAGAGCTCAAATGGTTCTAGATCTCAGACCAAAAACAACCTAGGAGTGCAGCATAAGAGTGGTGAAAGGAAGAGATGTTTTGGTGCTAGTAAGACACATCGATTTCTCTTTTATAGTAGTTTGTTCGTAGGACCACTTCACTTCTTTTCTCTTTAACACTAACCACTACTGTCTAGTGTTGGTTTTTTTGAAGTAATATGAAAAGCTGAATAATGGTCCAAAACAAACCAAACAAACAGAAAACCACCAAACCAAACTAAGGATCGGGACAGGTAATCACTTCAAATAAAACTTTGATCTGGGTCTGTTATCAGGGTAGTTGTGCATAAGCCTGGAATGTCCCAGTAGGTTTAAGTGTTAGTTGGCAAATCCTCAGGCAAAACTTGCACCCTGTGAAGGGCATGAATATGCTGATGTTGTTCCCCTGAACTCAGAAACCAAGCAGGTGGCAAATTTATTCATGGATATTTAAGGTTAGCCTACAGCATTAGTGTGGGGCTGCTGCGTAAGTATAGTGATCCCCATCTCAATCTGAACAAAAGAGTTCAGGAATAAATACGTGGTAGTATAGAACAGATTAATTACTGTGGGAAGATTGGATGAGTACTAGAATTTTATGTTTAACTCATATTTTTACTGTAGAAAATAAGCCTTATCTTGCTAATTTGCTCTACACAGTGTAAGTAACGCTTGAGTCGTTAATGGGCTTGTGCCCCTTACAAAGGAGTTAATGGGCAACGTACCTTGTGAAAGCTGGAGTGGAGCAGTGATGGGAGGCTGGAGGATGCTGGATATTCTGTTGCTTCACCGTTTGCAGCCTTAAGTTTGTCTTAATTTACTTCAAGAAAAAAAGTAAGTCTTCATAGCAAAGCACTGTTGTAAATTCTGCTCCCTATGCACAATGTAACCCCCAACAACTTCTCTTGCATTTAATAAAGATCTAAGTTTTTGTTACATTGTACAAAATGACTGAGGGGGGGGGGGGGAGAATGCTTTCCCTGATTTCCCACAAACTTTGCATCATGGGTTACAAAAAAGATAATTTGTCCAAGCAATGTCTAAACAATGGTGGTGTGGGAAACGGGGTGTTACCACCAATACATTTAGTATTTAATAGACTGTGTTTTAAAACCCTGTACAGAACTGGGATAGTAGTATGGCTCTAGCTAGAAGAAACGGAACTGAACTTGTTTTTTTTCTGTACCAGGTGTTAGAAGAGGACAAACATTCCCACTGCATGTTTTAGTTATGATGGTAGCTGTAGCAGACATATAATGGAAGTCCTCTGGGTAAAAAGCACCACTGACTTTTTTGTAACTGGAAAAGGTTAAGGAGCTCCAAGCAATCCCGAACAAAAATTGCTACATAGATAAGTCTCTGTATTTTACCAGAAGTGTGAAGGCTTATAAACTGTTATTTAAAGCAAACTGCACACTAAGTGAGAAGAAGCTGAGCACCTGAAACATTTTTTGAAAGTTGAAGTAAGGCACAGGACAGCTCCATATATCAAGTTTTTATTACATAATGTATAAACACCACTTTTTTTAAAAAAGCCAACAATGACAGATCTAGTTTAGCAGAACACAGTGGACTGGCACTAAATGAAGAGACCATGAATTTGACTCAGCAGATAGAGGAGGTGCAGAGCTCACTGCCAGTCCTGGCAGATTAAATCAGTGTTAGAACCAATACTCGGTCCTGTCATGGAATACTCTACCAGGTAAGTTGTCCGTACTGCAATCCTTTGCCATAAAGGATCCTTAAAAAGGATTCTACAATCCTTTAATAAAAAAAGGTAGCTGCTTACTGTTTATCTATTTTAGATCTCTGAAGCATCTGCTAGTAAATGCTTCAACAGAAGAGCAATTAAATACAGACAAAACCAGTAGAGGCCACTCATGAGTAAGTCAGGTTTCCATTTTGCTAAGTAAGTTAGGAATTTGTGAAATCTCTTACTAAGGTCTAAACCAGATCATACTTTGGGTCTGTAGGGCCTGAAAAATAGTCTTTTAGTCTCGGCACTCATAATAAGGAATGACAGGCATCTTTAAGAGGTATGCGCCCTGATCAGACTCCATGAAAACATTACTGCACACAACTGTCTCTGAAACAAGTGGGGTATGGGATTTCTGCTGCAAATTTGTCTATGCAGGTATTCAAGGACACTTTCAATATGTACACCTCTGATCTAATACAGTGGTAAAGTCCTAGGAAGTAAAAAATCCATGTTACTAGCATTAGTGGGTTGGTAGTGTACTAGACAGAGGCACATAAACAATCCATAACTGCTTAGAGATGGATTAGGAATAACTAAAACACCCTAGTCTCTCTGCAACCAACTTTCTAAAAGATTAGTCTTTTGCACCTTTACCTTTAGACCAGTTTTGCAGATTATTTTAAACATTGAGAGCTTTATTCTGACAGTTCCTGAACTCACCAAGTTTTGAAAAGAGTATTTGGCTACTTTGATTTTCCCCTTATGGTCTGCAATTCTGGGAACTCAAGCAGATAGCATAAATAACTCCATCATCTGCAGGACTTAAAAGGTGAAATGTACACAAACAGTGATAGCTTATTAAAAAAGCTCCACCAGTATCACATTTTCTTAGAATTTAATGGTCTAGTCAAATCTATCTCCTTTAAATTCTGGTTTAGAGTGAACAAAAATACTTAAGTAGTAGAAGGAAAAATTCCTTTATCCACTTCTTCCACCTATAAAGATCAGTTTACATTTTGTGATTGGCAATAAATACACTGATTGGCCACACTGGAGAACATTTCCATTAGACCTGAGAACATCTGTTACAGAAGTCTCTTCATTCAAAGGCAGTTTGAAGAAAACTCGCTTTTGGAAATTGATCTGTAGTAGATAGGACAGAACACATTTATTTCAAGTCATGTAGCAGAAGAGTTCCTGCTGTAGGGATCTTCATTTTGTCAAATTCTGCCCTCTCATCTATGCAATTATTAACACAGACTTTCAAAGGCAGACATAGTTCACAGTTTCTCTAAGACATTACCTAAAAATTCACTTTGTTTCCTAGAATCAGAGCCTTTTTTCTGTTATCAACTTGCTTACTTAACACATGATCAGAGGCATGTAAAATTAAAATTCATTTGTTGCCAATTAAATATCAGTATAATTCAGCATAGGATTGGAAATTTAAATTTTCTGGAGAAGTTAAAAACTTAGAAAACTGAGAGACACAGGTATTAACTTGTGTTCCGACAATTAGCACCCAGCACATCCTATTCTTCAATTGTAAAGAAACTCAGAACCTAAAATTCCAAACCATTCAACTTAATAAGGCCAAATATCTTTCTTAGGGATAGCTACTTACATACACTACTGTGACTGAACACCTGCTAGCCAGCTAATCCATTCAGTGAAGGAGTATATTTTACTTCAGCGTGTTTCCTATAGTTTGTCTATTCCTGTTAAAGGGCTCAAGAAAACCCTTGGGTTTCAAGTCCCTCTCTAGCCAAAGAGAAAAGGTAAGAGCTACCTCATTCAAGATGTGATTAAGCCAGACTTTTACTTTTGATGTACATCTATGAAGTAGAAAAAATACTGAAGAGAAAAAAAAAAAAAGTCACAAGTTGTATGAAACTACAAAGTTGTAAAATTTTTGAAAAGCATACAAAAGATCTGTATTTCCATTTCTATTACTTCAACATCAGGATTTACCAAAATCTATATATCCTTGCATCAAATTGCTAGATTGACAGTCAACTTTTCTACAAAAGTGTATGTATGAAGGTGTTTAGTTTCATCAGTCCCAGACTGTTACTAAAAAACCGTACATCTGAATATTTAATGCTACTGACTTAATACTTGAACCCATCTACCTGTGTTTAAAAATATGTTCTTTCATGTTTGCCTTACAGGTTAAAATGTCCATTTTCACTGAAGTAGAAGTAAGGCTTCAGATATACTTCTTTTACACCAGATGCACAAAGAGCTTAAATAACAGGCTAAGATATCCCCACCCCAAAGGAATGAAACTCATTTCAAGCTTCCTCCAAATGCTCTTGCATCCAAAAAGGCCAACTTCCAACCTAATGCAGCATTGTGATGTGCTGTCTATCCCCAGAAGTTCCCTCTTTGGATCCAGAATTGTTTCAGCAGAAGACACTAGGGTCTTTCATTCTTCCAGCAGAACAGTGCACAGTGCATCCTCTGTATCGATCATTATTGAAGCTATTGCCCCATCATTGAACTCAAAAGATGTTCCTCCATCTACAACCATACATGCATCCCAACAACGGGAACGGACACAGACTCTGCAAGAACCCAAAAAAAAAGTTTTAACAAAACAGCCTAAAAAAATTAGGTATTTCTCACAAGCACACTTATCTGAACAATCAGACTGGTTCTTGGACATTCCTTTTGGGTCAGTAAATGCTTAATCACACAGGAGCATGCTTAGAGAAGAATTCAGCATGGTACTAAGCACTAGAATCCCCCAACCTAACAGTACATTATATAAACACAGCAAAAAAAACCAGGGAGAACTGAAGGACTTGTTTGAATGTCTCTTGCTCCAGGAGCCTGAGAACAGCCTACACCACAACACTAGATATTGAAAGCTGCAGTTTAGGTGTATTTTTTAAATAAAGCTACTGATCTCATTGATTAGTGGTTTGCTTAGTCTTTCAAATAAAAGTTTTAAATTAATTTATGATTCTAATGTATGGTCTTCATGTTAAGTGGAACATGCAGTTTCAACTAGCAGTGCTTGAGATTCAAATAATTTGGATATTACTATAGTCTATTTTGTTACATGAATCATTCACAGAGAGAAGGGAAAGTAATTTCAAACACAAGGGTAAAGGTCAGAATGCTTGCCAGGCAACAGCGTAAGTAGGTGTTGCAGCATAGTACTGTCAATATTAGAGTTTGACTACTATGTCTTTAAACTAATAAATTTAAATTTGAGCTTATTAAATTTAAGGCAGCTCTTTTAGAGCTGGACAAAACAGAATAAAACTACTAACCATCTTCCTCTTCACTTACCTTTAAAAGGAAAATTAACTCAACCATTGTAATTTATCCTTTCACGTACACAGAAAGTGGAAACACTATTAAATAGAGTTCTCCAAACATCTTTTTTTATATTGCTAGATGGGAACTAATAGTTATGTCAGCAGCTGTTGTCAACAGCTGCAAGACTGCAGTCTCACATGGATGTGCTTGATTGTTTCTGACTTAGGCCCTGGTCTAGACAATGTTCTGATCTCCAAAATTTAATCAACAATTATCCAGTGACTTAAATTTTCATAAAGCCACATCTGAATGTGGCCTATGCATCCCTAAAACACAGCCAAGTCTGGATGCTGCAGGAAAACATGGAGGCACGTTCCACTCCTCCATTTCACTCTGGGCAACTACTGTGACAAAAAAAGATAAAGAACAGCAATGAGGAGATGTTTAGTATCAAGAGGTAAAGCTCTACTGTGACACGCAGCAAATTCTACTTAAAAAAGGAAGACTGGGCAGATATCCGTCACAGGTATGCAGACATTTGTAGCTCCAGTATAGTTTTTGTAATATATCCTATGCTGAGGACTCCAAATAAGACAACTTAGTCCTGTATAACTCATAGATGAAAATACAGTTATTTGCTCCTATTTTAACCTCTCCTCTGGTCCCCTAATCATCTCAGTGGCCTTTCCTGAATTCACTCCAGTTTGCCAATGCCTGTTTCACATACTGAGGGAAATGGCACACATACAAAACTGGGCACAGTGAGATTCTTTTATTCTGTAAGATTGTGCATGGATGAAATACTAAAAAGGCATAACACAACTTGGAAAAATTTTCTTCGTGTTGTCAGGAGAACAATACTCAAGCCCCTCAAAACAAAAACTGGATGTTGAAACACTTCAAGTGAATCTCCTGGATTACTCATTCTTTGACAAGTACACAGAATGAAATAATTCTTCGGTGACTGCTGCAGCCAACACTTACTTTGAAGAGAAGCCACGCTGACGGCTACTTGAGAAAACTCTGTTTACAATAGGTTCCCGAATACTGAAAAACATCTTTGGTTCTTCTGGACTGTAGAGCAGGGACTCATTGTAATCATTTGTTACTGTAAACAGAGAAATCAGCCATTAGGTTTGCCAGAGAAAATGACTTATTCTCAGAAGCACACATTCCTCGAGGGAAGAGCAGTTTCCATAGGGAGAGGGAATACTGAGTCTTGCCAGATGTTTCATAGCCTTCACCTGCAAAAAAAAATTAATTTCACAGAAGATTCCTTTCAGTTCTATTGCATCATGAATACTCAACAGCTCTCTTCAGGTGCTTAAATATTGTGTGTCTCAAATCTTGGGGGAACTGACATTCTCCTGAAGATCTATACATATCAAAGTCTAAATAAGTGCTTTAATATGAAGTCTGACATTTTTCACCAAGTGTGCCTAAATAATATTTGTAAGAAAGACTAATATTTCAAGAGTGCTAAAATACTGAAAGCAGTGCTGAGTATTAAGAGTACAAACAAAATTAACTGATCAAATTCAGATACCTTAGAGAAATCTTGCCTTTTTCACTAACCTTTTTGTACTAGTTCCATGTTCAATGGCATATTCAAACTTCCATGCTTTTTAGCTGTTGAGCCAAGAGAAAGAGCCTCAATTAGACAGGTGTATTTTTACATAAACTTGGCCAGTAATGCCATACTGTTCACTCACCGATCTTAAGAATCTCTTCAACAGCTTGATTTGCTACCTTGTTAATATTATAGGACCTAGACAGAGAAGTAGAAGTCTTATTTGCTAAGCCATACAACTTGGGAGAAAAACAAAACAAAATTAAAAAACAAAAAAATCTTGCATACAGATGAAGAACTATGTTCAACAACAGGAAGAAACAAAAAATAAAGAATGTTATTAAGGGTGAGCTGACATCAGTTTCTTCAAAAAAATGCCTTAAAGTAACTCTTGGTTTACCATCTACCTGGCTTTGTAAACCTTACTCCACTAAGTGAAGTCTTCAGGAAAAAAGAGCAAAATACACAGGACAGTCTCCTTACCAATAATCCTCCTGCCTTAAAAACACAATAATTGCTGATTTAAGTCTGCATTAAAAAAACTGAAGCATGACAGTTCTACAGATTGTGTGTGTTCTTATCCCTTCTATTCACCTCTTGCTAATTAATTCCTTCTGTTAGTTCTCATTTATGGGACCAAACACTTCTTCTCAAATATTATGCCTCTTTGTCCATACCCTAAGGTATGGGCTTGAAGATCATGAAAGTCAGTTAGATCAGACACTTTTGCATGTGCCACATTTGGATGCATAAGTCAGCATAAAGCCTCAGTCTGAACCAAGTCTAAACTCCAATAAAAGTTTCCCTCCTGTGCCCAGGCTCAAAAGGGATCGGGTACTAATCACAGCCTCCATGCAGCAGTACTGTGAACATGTGAGTTTCCCAGGTCTCAATACAGCTTAAAATCCTCAGTCCAGCACTTCTATCACGGCACTAAAACACCTCAGATTGCAAAAGACATTCATTATACATGTAACAGGCCACAGGGCTGCTGATGGTGGTTGGCCAAGGCTCCTCCTCTCACACTTATTGCCTACCTGCAAGCCTGAGCAGATGCTAGCAAGAAAGTGAGATGCGCAATTTGAAATTGTTCTCTCAATTAGCTATCCTTTTATACAAGTTTTGGCAGCTGAAGCACTTGGACATTTAAATGCTTGTCAGGCTGAGGAGGTATGCAATACCAGAAGAGTCAAGAGTCCCTAAACCACAGGCTAAAGAAGATCACGCCACTGAGGCTTGGCCTCAGTTGAGAAAAGCCCAGCAGTACATGCTGATTACAACGGAGATGGGCAATCCTGGAGTTTGGTGCCTGATTCTGGGATTGCTCATACAGAGCGTATAACCAAATGAAATGCATAAGAACAGCACTGAACTAAGACTATACATTCCCAAGGTACTGAACACTAGGAAAGTTCCCCTAGCAGTCTGCCAGTTTCATCCTTGGCAGCCTCCAGGACCAAGTTATGCTGACTGAATACAAAATTCTGAATTACAATGAAGAGTAAACCCCAGTAACCATGGTTACAGCATGAATATTCATTTTTGAATTTCATTAAAAGCTTCAGTTTTAGTTCATCTTAGCCTGCCAAATCCAGGGCCTGTTGTACAACTTTAAACTATAAGCACAGCCAGATCTCCAAATGAAAGAGGTTCTCACTATACATGTGTCTCACATCCCAAAACTAAACTGCTTAGACTGACATGCAGTACTGTAGCTTGTTTAAACTGAAGTTAAGATAATTTACCTCTTTGGTTAAGCTAGCACAGCTCTGCTTAGATATGCCAGTCTTTCTTTAACAGGAATATTTTGGAAAAGAGACCGTGCCCTTTCAATTCAGTTTGAAAGAGGCAAGGGGCTTGGAAGGAGAATGGGCAGTAGATGTGCCAGAGAACCCTTAACACTGTTTCCAAGTACATGTTTTCCCATTCTTCTTAGAGGTTAGATTTTTAAAGTTTTCTGAGCTACTTCATCTAAACTTTTGAATTTAGGCCAACAAGAGTGGTTCAGAGATCCCCCCCGTATGGTCTCCAACCCAGCAGCATCTCCTTCCCTTGCCACTCCCAGCCATTCATCTCCATGTGCAGCATGCAACCTTCTTCACCAAATTACACCTAAGGTAAACTTCTGCGTCAATGACTCAGCTCCTCATCCTTTCAACAATTCCCTCCATACCTACAATTGAGGGGTGCTTTGCACCTCTCACAGACTTGAAGACAGCTTTGCACCATACCGACAGTGAGAATATTTGGACACACCTGACAGGCACTGACTTATCCATAGTCCAAAAGAGTCTCAGTATGGAGCAAATACTTAAGCAAAATAGGTCCATCTAGCATAGCGTATCTGAAGTGACGTTTTATATCAAAGCAGCAACAGGTACTTACCATGCTTTTGATCCTGTTCCAGTACACACGTTAAGCCCTGAACTCTTCTGTTTTTCCCAAGGACCATCATCAACTGATATCTCATAATAGGAGGCCCTATGAAGTGAGAATTTAAAACTGGGTTTGCAGGACTTAAAGTTCTCCCTGAATAAGACAGAACACACAGCCTTATCAGGCACATGAAAATTTAGAGGGGCTATTTTCATATCTGGATGACAATTTCACAGGCTTTTCACAATGTTTCTGATTTGACAGCCACTTCTGATTCACTGTTTTATAACAGTTTTTATAACGGACAAAAATGATTTGCAGTATGAACTTTCAGGCTGTTTTTTTGCAGCCACTTTTCGTATTAAATTATGCACAAAGAACTCTGTGGTTCATCTGGGAATAGCTTCATACACAAACAGGGTTTGCTGGACTTACAAATGAAACTACAAATACGTTACCTTCCTTGCATAATTGTTGAACTACTGAAAAACTCTGTTTATGCTGTGATTGGATCTCATAAAATTACATCAGGGAACACTAAGAGGTAAGGCACTCCAACGTCAGTAAGTAATAGCAGGGCTTCAAGCTGAATTCTTGATCAGTTGAGAAATTAAAAATCCACTGTGATTCTTCATGAACAGTTTTAGTTTTACAACAATCAGCAGGCTTATGTTTCTCTCCAGGGCAAATTCTTCCTAGAACTCAAATGTAATAAGTCTTGGGGCACAAACATCATTCTGCATGGTATTATTCATATATCAGGGGATTACTAATGTTAGGCCTAGAGAGACCAGACAGTCTCTCTCTGTAAGCTTCAGAACATCCAGGTGTATATTTATGAACAAAAGTTGTTGATGTTCACAGTGCCTAATTCAAACAGTATGATATAGTCTTTAGATTAATAGATACCCTCTTAGAAAAACACCACATTCACTGTGGTCGGCATAACTGAGTTTTACTATAGCTAGTTTTACCTTCTTACCCAAGGACTACTTGGTCAGAAGAGCTTACTGAGCTGTTTTAGGTGATGAATGGTTCAGTTTGGATCGACTACGAAAACACCTCTTGAATATCTGGTGTCAAACAGTTCAGACACTTATAACTAAGAGCATTTTGTGCACTCACTCTTGAGAAGACGGGAAGACAAAAGAACAGCAAGCAAATTAAGAACACAGGTGCCCAGCTTGATTCAGTTTAAGACAATTTTTGCAAGCTAGGTATGAAAGCATTTTTTTTTTCTTCAATTTCCTTGTTTTCTTAACTGACATGCAGAATAAGACCCTGGAAGAAGCACCTAGAATCATATTGTCTTAATATACAGTAGACATTTGTATTTGAACCTTAGAGATGATTTATCCATGTGACATCATTATTAAGCCTTGAAGTGTAAGGTCCTATTAACACAAAATTTATTACTAGAGATTAGTTCCTACAGCCATTGTGTTCCTCAATGGTTCTCAAATAGATGGGAACAAAAGAGCACAATCTATTTGTGACACTCAGAAGCAGAGGGCTATTATAGAGCGTTGGAAAGCAGCTTTGTGTTTCTCTGTCACTGTATGTTAAACTTTTTAGAATCTTGATAAAATTAGGTTTGGTTTACTAGAGAGCAAAGTGTGTATCTCTTTTGAGACTAATTCCTTCTGCCAGTCTGAGGCTGCAGTCCAGATGGAAGATAAAGCATTCATGGAACATTTATACTGTTTCCAGCAGCAATCACAGTGTCCCAGGCACTGCACAAACACAAGAAGATGTTACACTCTGAAGTTTAAAAAAAAAGAAGATACAGAATAAAGGGAAAAGGGATATAAAATACAAGTAAAAGTCTGGACAAATCCTGCCCAAGGATCATGTTTGAACTCCTTTCCCACAGCCCCAGTTGCATTCCCCACATCCTTCTTCTTAACATTTGTCTGGCAGAAATGCATTTATCTTCAGGACAGAAAGGGCAGTCAAAGGTATCCTAGATAAAACAGTACCAGGATTTGATACCAATTAGTTTCTTTAAACAAGGAAATAAGTGTTTTCCCACAATAACAAAGCTTCTGCCAAAAGCAGGCTGATACCTTTGCCTCTAATGAGAGAGAGGCAGGGAAAGGACTACTTGGGTCATGCTAAAAGCTCATGAAAAGGTACTTAAGAAGAGATACAGGAGAGGAGGCAGTTTAAGGACAGATATTTAAACCTTCAATCCACTGTAAAGACAGTAACTGAAGGCATTTGGTTACATAAGAACTAACCGGGAAAGGAGTAAAACAATGAAGAGCAAAGAAAACAGTCAAGAATAATGAAAGATGAAAGAATGACCATACAGGAAGGTGGAAAACCAGAAATTAACATCACTGCACTTACACCTCTGAAAATACACTTTGTAATCAGCAACAATACAATCAGTGTTACATATTCATGGACTAGAACTGAAATTTGATACCAAAGACATCCCATCACTGATTGTCCATTGCAATGTCATAAAATGAAATTAAGTCAATTGTGCCTTGCTGCAATAACAAACAGCTAAACATACCTGGATGAGAGAGACTCCCCAATGAAGACTTCATTGAGTGCTCTCACTGGTAAAAGATGCGGACCAGAAATGTCAGATCCTGCAGATATTGAATATAACAGTTTTGAATCATGGCTCTAAACCCCACATATTCAAAAACAATTCACAGCTCACTGAAGGACACACTCTGCTGCCTGGGTTTGTATTCTAGACCTAGTGCTCCATTTTTGTCAAGGACTCAATTTTTCACTGATCTAGTCTGTCGCCAGACACTGTCCTTTACTGGAAACTGCAAATATTTGAACCAAGGTCAATAAGGCAATGACATTTATGTTCAGACATCACTTTCCCTGAAAACTCATGGGCAACCAAGCAGACTGAAGTCTTCTTTTCTGTCAGCCATTCTTCCACCTTAAAATAAATTCACTGAGAGTGACTTAATAGACATTTCTGATAAAATTCAAAGACTTAGACTTTATACCACAGGGTAATTAAGGGGGATAAACAAATTTCTCATGTTGACTAAGGACTTCTCAGTGAGGAAATGCAGTGCTAAACACAGGTTAAGGAGAGAATCATGCATCTTCCATCCATCATAAAGAAAACAGTCAAACATGTCTGATGACTGAAAAATTACCCAGCAAGAAATTCTCACTTCTAACTTCTCATTTGCTACCTGGCAGTCAGTGAGGAGCTTTTCAAATGTGAAGTAACCTGCCTCAAATTTAGCACGAGTTAAAGAGTGTGCACACACACATGCTTTTAGTGTGGAGCAGCTGAACGCATCACCAAATGTTTATGTGGTAACCCCAAGTGTCTATAGTAACCCTAAGAGACAGCATTTTAAAAAAGCTCAGGTATTCTTACAGCATGTAATACTATTTAAAAACATCTCTAAATTAACTTAATACTGAAAATGGGTTCCAAGTATACAGTCCAGAATAAATATATAGAAAAGAAATAATACTCCCTTTTAAAAAACCTTAACCTGTGTTTTCAGCTAATGAGAGCTTGTCTCTCCCTGCCCCTCCAATACAGCAACTAGACTTCAAATACTTCAATTCTTACAAATCTTTATCTCCTATTCCAATTTTTCATAGCAAAGTGATTACATTCTTGTCACATTTTAACCTACTTTGATCCTGGAATCTTTCATTTATGTGAGCCCTGCTGTGTTGCTCTTGGCTTAGCTGTTGTTCATGTAAGTCTACAGGAGTTGGGTTAATACCAGTTCCTTCAAGATACAGTCGGATTCTTTGCCGCCACTGCCACCTTAGAGGGGAGAAAGAAGTTGGTATCAGTAACCAGAATATTCATTACCGAATCAGATAGGATCAGAGAGTCTTCAGTCTCAAAGTAGAGCATCTTAAGATTAAAAGTTAAATATACTCAAAGTCACATTTCAAGTTTTATAGCTCCCACTATAATTTCTAAATTTACAAAGTTAATCATACTAAAATGTAAATACTTTACACTTACCAATTTGCTACCTGATGTTTTTTGCACATGTAAAGTAAGGGGACACTGGCCAAAAGTAGTCTACAAATATTCTAGATAACAATTCATATTTTTAGGCATGTGATTCTAGCTTATGAATTCATGACTGACACAGCAGCTTTGAGAACAACAAGGTCTCACGAATTTATACAGCAATACATACTGTATTTTTACCATCTTTTGTTTGTATTTGTAGTTGTCCAGAAAAGCAGCTCTGTCCACCCCTACGCACATAAGGGCCACAAGTATCCTCTCATTTTAAGAATCAACCCTAGCTTAGGAACTTTAGGATGCTTAAGAGGAATTCAAATGAAGAAAGAGAAAAATATAAAAGGTATTCTTCCTTAAGTTGTTACAATATTCAGATTTTTATTTTTTTCCTATAGAAGGTATCAATTCCTTTCTCCTCTTACTATTTAGAGTTTATATGTTTTATAGTAATAGTTTTGATTAAGAAAGCAAAACACAAGGGAATGTTATGAGCACATCTTTTCCCAGCTCATACTGTTGATATCTGGGTGACAGTAACCAGCTTACAGGTTTCCTAAAAATTACAGCAAGGAAGAGTTATGCTTTATGAGACTACATTACTAGCTCTTCCTGGTTGTCATCCTTGTAGAGCCTCATTCAACACATCCTTAGTATAATTACTTACCTGCCCTTAAATTCCAGGTATGGTTTTAGGTAGTCAAGCAGACAGCATGCAGCGACTATCATTACGCTAGCCTCCTTACAATACTCATGCTAGAACATGTCAAACCCCCTACAAAATTAGAAAATGGGACTGTACCCCTTTTATATTCCTGTTCCGAGATCCTGTTACACCATTGACCATCAAGAAAAGAAACACGGATAGTCTAATATAGTTTGTCCTTTAAAAATCAATAACGTTGGTTGTTTCATGGGACTACAATGTATATGCTTATGCAGACTGTTGCAGTAAAGTGACTGACACTCCACAGAGAAGGAGAAAAGGTAATCCTTCCTTTCCAGTCTCTGGCACTTCACTGTCCTTACGCAGCTCTGAGCCACCAGAAGCTCCTCCAGATGGGCTGAATAGTTACCCATATATTTTACAGTCTCCTTAGGGACAAATAAATCTAAGACCTGGCAAGCGAAACACCCACTCAGGTCCCTGTTTAGGAATATTAGTTCCTATTATTCTGGAAAAACAGCAAGGGAGATCCTTTCTGTTCCACTCTGGTGAGGCTTCAGCTCCATAAAAAGCAACAACAGAAGCACCACAACAAAAATATAACACAGCATCCAACAAAATATTAGAAGTGCCTAGATTATCAAGGGAGGTTACCTGCATTAGCACTACCAGCTTTACCTAAGCAACTTAGCATGATGCGGAGTTAAAAGATTTTGTCTTCTAAGTCTCAGAATATGTAAGTTGAAAGTACCTTTTCATTTAGCAATACTTCCTGAAACCCCTTCAGTTATTGATAATCAATAACTGTATTCACCTAATTTCAGAACTTTCCTATGGCACAAGCACATTTACACTTCAAGCTACACATTCAATATGCCAGAAGTATAAACAAAACCCAACTGCAGTATATTCTGATGCAAATTACTTATTTCTTTTTGATAGTTTGTCATCATAAAAGTATTCTGGAATGTTAATATACCACAGAAAAATGTCTCTTAAAATAGTTATTAAAACAAAAGTCTCTTTTTCTGGAACTGGCAGTCAATTGTATCATCTGTATTCCAGTCTCACTCGACCACAAACCCATTTTTCATCATGGTAAACATCTACACAGAATCACGATCCAAAGCTTTAAGATTCTACTACGCATTGTCTGCTCCTTCGGAACTGCACACCATTAAGCATTTTCCAATCATAGTATGTTTTGGAAAACCAAAGATCAGTGAATCCTACCTGAACTCACCACGATAAAGCTTCTGTAGTGCTTCAGGAAATGAGTGTGTATATCTCACAGGCAAGCATAAGTGACCCTCTGATCTGGTAGCAAAAAAGGACAATGAAAATGACAGCATAACTATGAAGATTTGGGACCTTTAAAAACAAAAATCTTTTTCTATTACACAGATCAAAGCTGTACTTTGACTTTTATGAACCCATACTACTCCTACATAATAGCACATCAGCATCAGTACATGTTTTTCAGCTCCTGGGTTTATGTGTGTGAGAGATAGGATATTTCTCACACATTTCCCCTAAACATTGTCTGTTCAGCTAGTAATCCTGATGGAATATGTAAGTACTAATATAGTTCTAGCAAAGGAATTCAACCTTAATAAACCTTGCAAGTTAGAAAATAATTTTCTTCCACTTACACACAATTTACTGATACAAGACAGGTAAGTAACATGCCTAAGATCAAAGAATCTCATGTCAAGGCCAGAAGACGAAACACTGCTCCCCTTTCATGAGTGATATTTGATAACTTGAAGGCATTTGTTATTTGAACCCTGCTATTCAGGCTTGATACTGTAGAATATCTATTCACAGCATTTGAAAAGTTGTGGAAGAGGAGTAAGGTATGGAAGGAATTGAAACTTTAGGCCACCACTTTCATATCTACTAAGATTAAATTAACTGGTAATATCAAAGGCAGAAACCTAGATCTGGAAATCTCAGCAGACAGAGCCTTGGTGAGTTCTGAGTTTTACTTGCCATCCATTTGAAGGTTACACCAACCTGGCAGCACTAACACACTGCATCCACCTGCCCAAATCAATCTTATGGCTAGGTGGATGCAACTTATGTGGAGTTTATAATAGGACAACCAAATGCCATTAATTGCCTGAGGAGACTGCGTCCTCTGAGGTACGACACAGTTTAGAAGAAGAAACCAGAACAAACTTCTTCATCTGAGGCCCGACTGGATCTCCAACAGAATTCACCTTCTTCATAAAGAAACATTTTCTGTTGTTCAGACACCACACTGTCAGTTGCTTTTGTTAAGTCCCTTTTCCTGTTTCTGTTCTACACTGCCATCTCTAGCCTCAAACTTCTGGTTAGTAATACAAATTAACTGGCTGCAAGTGATGTTACACTGGTGTGTGAAAGCAGCTGTGGCAGTTTCACACAGTCATGCTTATCTAATACTACTTAAAGTCCTCTCAGATGAGAGAAGACAACTCATTGTGGAAACTTTTCTAATAAAACAACAGGTTCTCTTGATATCTACAATCTAAAGCAGACATTTATGCTGCCAGATGCTACAGGCATGCCTCATGCATCCTGAGAACAGATGCATATTACGCCTGATATTAAATAAAGCACTGCTTTCCCAAATGTGTTTTTACCTTTCAGGATCAGTATTTACTCCAATAACTGGTTTAAATTTATCGAAGACCTTACTGGCTGCCAATAACATTGTACCATCCCCTACAGAAAAAGCAAAACAGAAGTTAGTTTCACTTTATATTCTAGTATCCCAAACAAAACAGTCTCAAATGTACTGCAGCATTACCACTAGGTGCTTTTGTATCAACAACTGATTAGGTAAGATGCACAAAACCAAACTGGGACCACAAAACTACTGATACCTTCCAAAGCAGCGTGGTAACATCTGAATTCAAGATGGCAAATGTGATTAGAAAAAGTACAACTTATCTGGCAGTTATACATGCCCAAGCAACTGAATTCAGAAGAAGTAAGTTTGAAAAGAGATTTATGGAAACTTCTTCATGTTTATCAGCTGGTAAAATAAATTCTTTAAGAAAATTAATTTAGAAAGTATCGCTAATCAAAGCCACAGGAGACAGGAAACAATACCAAATTTTACTGTTAATCACATGAAAACAGTAACTTTAGTTTCACCTCAGTTGTTCTGCTAGAAGGCACAATTTAAAGGCCTTATCTGGCCCCAAACAGGCACACTTGGAAAAGAAGTCTTAGACAAAACTGTTGAAGAAGAAATCTTTAAGTGTCACTGGTTTCTTCAGATATTGATATTATTTCCTGTCTGTTAAACAGAAGGACACCTATAACCTGAATCAGTCTTTGCACCAAGATATAAACTCTGGAAATCTCTGATGATGTATCACTTCCCAGCTGCTTGCATCATAACCACAACATATGTTGCCACAGTCATACTGGCACTTTAATCTCCACCTTAGATGAGTTCTTTAAAATCTACAGGAGTATATGAGGACACTTCAGGAATGTATACATATCCCTTTCTACCCATTCTGAGAGGTAACCAGTACCTAAGGGCAAAGTGGACCCGTGGGGAGGACAGAAAGGCAGAGCAGTGGTCAAGTCTAACTGCCACAGACGATTGACCATTATGTCAGAGCCCAGCAACACAACAACAATTTGCTGCATTATTTGCAGCAAATCACAAAAATAACCCTGAATGAACTGCTGTGAGCCAGTGTTCATAAAAAACCATAAGGTCAGCTGCTCTGTTGGTTCATTTAAAAAACTCTAGGCAGAGGCATAGGATGATCAGAAGTTGTATACTTTTACATTTACCATCCAACTAGACACTCCAGTCACTGGACTTAAGTATGAAAGCAACAAAGACAGTTTGGGCAAGGGGAGGAAAAGGTAGTATATGTTAGAGTTCGCCTCACATACCCAAAAACAAAGAGTAGGGTTTAGGGCTATGTATAACCACATGAGAGCAAGCATTTTATCCTCTTTAGCTGTAAACTACAGTTAATTCCACAGTTTGATACTGTTTTACCCAAGCCAATAATAAACATTTCCAAAGTAGCCATGCACTGGGATTCACTTCCTAGTGCTACAATTTTAAATACTAAAGGCAGAGAGCATGGTCACAACCACTGCATTTTGTTGTATTTTATTACAATTAAATAAGCAATTTGTTTTCAAAATGTGTATACCTCCACATGCTTCTCACACTGCAAAACATTTCTGAAAAATGTATCCATGAAAACATACTGAAACAACTACTTCCCTTCCATAAAGTCATACCTCCTGCTGATATAACAGCATCTGCCCACCGAACTGTCTCTTCATTATATTCTCGACGTTTAACAAGACGAACTTCTATCCCCTCGTTCCTACAAAGCGCAGAAAAAGCCTCAATGTATCCTATATTGTTCCTTGTGACATCCTTCTGAAAAACTGACACGTAATTAAGGACTGACTACAGTAGTATTTGACTTATAAGCATTTGACACTCACACAAATCCTTTACATCTTCTTCATTTGTTTTCAAGAAAACAGTGTATTACTTAACTGAATTAAGCTAGTTCACATTCAATTATATCAAGAATGGCTGTTCACCTGCATCACCCTGTTTTCAGTATTCCTATTTTATTAGAGCTTGTAACACAAAGCTTCTTTTTTTTTGTTTTACACAGTCCATGGATATTTGCAATGTGTCTGAAATTCACCACATCCATACATTCTTACCGCAAACTGTCTACAATGTGCTCCACATTTTTTGTATGAATGCGATGCCGCTCCAGCAGACCAGCATAGTTAGATCCCTTCAAGGCAAGCTGTAAGACATAAGTAAGTCCTCTTGAGTAACACAAATGGAAGTTATAAAAAAGCATGTATTTTATCTTAGTAGAGACACATGCTTTTACAAGCATTCCATTAGTTACATCTCTATACACATACCAGTCAGCTTACATTGACTAGTTCACTAAATGAGTTACAGGGCCAGGGCAGCCAAGAACCACAGACCTTTTGAGGGTTCTACACAAACATACAAACAAGTATGCTACACTGACTTCTACGTCACTTCAAATTCTTTGCTTTCCCTGAATCTGCTAAATAATTTGAACTCTAGGTAAATCTACATACAATTATATATATAGTTACACTAACTATATTCCTGTAATGTGCCAAAAGCACAAACCCAGTTCGCTAATTACCTGAAGAGGTATAAACGTTGTGCTACAGGAAAGAGGACAACAGAAAAAGCAACAAGAATTATAACTAAGAAAACAGGAATCTTTGAAATACCTAGAGCATTACCCTTCAGATTGTATTTGAGCTAAAATGGAAGACTGCCAAGTGGTGGCAAAGGTGACCTTTCCTCTGCATCAAAAAAAGCTTAACGACAATCTACCTACTACCTTTGATACTGCCCTCTGGATCACAGACCACATTTTTCAAATTAATTCATATTAATAACAAGACAAATAGTATTTACCAGTTGCATTCTAGCATCATTCTTCCTGGAAGCTGAAGAATTTAAATATTTAATCTTGACATTGAGCCACACCGCCCAAATCACTGAAGGCAAAAGCAGGGACTGGCAGAATGAAGAACTGCCCACTGTAGGAGAAGATCAGGTACGAGACCACCCAAGGAACCTGAAGGTGCACAAGTCCATGGGACCTGATGAGATACATCCACGAGTCCTGAGGCAACTGGCAGACACAGCTGCTAAGTCATGGCAGTCTGGTAAAGTTCCCACTGACTGGAAAAGGGGAAATACAACCCCCATTTTCAAGACGGGTGAAAAAGAAGACCCAGGGAACTACAGGCCCATCAGTCTCACCGCTGTGCCTGGCAAGATCATGGAACAGATCCTCCTGGAGATTCTGCTGAAGCACATGGAAAACAAGGAGGTGACTGGAGACTGCCAACATGGCTTCACCAACAGAAAATTATGCCTAATTTAGTGGCCTTCTACTAAAGCATTGGTGGATACAGGAAGAGCAACTGATGTCATCTACCTGGACTTGTGCAAATCATACAACATTGTCCCACATGACACTCTCGTCTCTAAACCGGAAAGACACGGATTTGACAGCTGGACCACATGGTGGATAAGGAACTGGCTTGATGGTCACACCCAAAGAGTTGTGGTCAATGGCTCAATGTTCAAGTGGAGACCAGTGATGAGTGGCGTTCCTCGGGGGCTGGTATTGGGACTGGTGTTGTTTAACATCTTTGCGGGAGACATGGACAGTGGGATCGAGTGCACCCTCAGCAAGTTTGCTGATGACACCAAGCTGTGTGGTGCAGTCGAAACGCTGGAGGGAAGGGATGCCATCCAGAGGGACCTGGACAGGCTTGACAGGTGGCCCCGTGCAAACCTCATGAAACTCAACAAGGCCAAGTGTAAGGTCCTGCACCTGAATAGGTGCAATCCCAAGCACAAATACAGGCTGGGTGGAGAATGGATTGAGAGCAGCACTGTGGAGAAGGACTTGGGGGTGCTGGTAGATGAAAAGCTCAACATGAGCCAGCAATGTGCACTTGCAGACAAGTAAGCCAACCATGTCCCAGGCTCCATCAAAAGAAGTGTGACCAGCAGCTTCAGCAAGGAGATTCTCCCCCTCTACTCCACTCTCACGAGACCCCACCTGGAGTACTGCATCCAGCTCTAGAGTCCTCAGCACAGGAAAGACATGGACCTGTTAAAGAGAGTCCAGAGGAGTGCCATGAAGATGATCAGAGGGCTGGAGCACCTCCCATACAAGGACAGGCTGAGAGAGTTGGGGTTCTTCAGCCTGGAGAAGAGAAGGCTCCAGGAAGACCTTACAGCAGCCTTCCAATATTTAAAGGGGGCCTACAGGAGAGATGGGGGGGGACTCTTCATCAGGGACAAGGGGTAATGGCTTTAAGCTGAAAGAGGGTAGATTTAGATTAGATATTAGGAAGAAGTTTTTTACTGTGAGGGTGCTGAGGCACTGGATGAGGTTGCCCAAAGAAGTTGTGGATGCCCCATCACTGGAGATGTTCAAGGCTTTGAGCAACCGGGTCTAGTGGGAGGTGTCCCTGTCTATGTCAGGGGGTTGTAACTAGATGATCTTTAAGGTCCTTTCCAACCCAAACCATTCTATGATTCTATGACATACTCTTTAGACAATGAAAACATTTTGAAGTTTATATAGATAACTCTTATGAGCAGGCAGGTAAGGATTCTGGCTGAAGATCAGGTTTTTTTTGCAACAGGTTTCTGTGTGAGTAATTCAGTCACCATCTGTATGCATTCATTCTTCAGCTCACTTAGTGTGCTCCTCTGGCACTCATACTGCCAAATAGGTGTTTGCACAGAGATTAAGCAAGTAGAAGAAAGTGTGAAACAGATGTTAAGCAAAAGGAGTTTATAAACACATTCACACAGAAAGCGACCCTGTTTTGAGCAGCAGGCTAGACTACAAGACCTCCTGAGGCTCCTTCTAACCTGAATTATTCTACAATTACATTTCTTCCTTTTCCCTGGACAGTTAAAACCAATTTACCAGTACAGAAACAGAACTTCTCCTAGCATTTGTGTAGAGAAATTAATCTGTGCCAGAACTTTCAACAGGCACTTCCAGCAATTTATTCAAGTGCCTTTACTCAAAGTTGCACACCCTTCCAAGACAAAGCGGTGCCAGACAGCCACATCTAATCCCATTTCCACAGAGACTGCGGGACCATGGAACTCCACAGCGAAGCAGAGAGGACTGTCAGGATATGACAATTACACTTAACTGCAATCCAATACCCAACAAATGCCATCTTTCCTCCTCTTGACACCTGTTAACATCAAGAAATCACACACTTAAACCCCTTGCTTCTACTCCCCAGCTAGTCCAGCACAAACTGACCTTGCTTTACAACCAGAAAGAAGAGATCCACAGCAGATAACCTCAAAAAAAACAACCATCTTACAAAAATCAGGGCTCCCAGTCATGCCTCCTCTAGAAATATCTGCTGTGAAAGAAGCACAAGCGCCTGACCAGCAGACTGCTGCTGCAGCATGTTTTTCAGGCTGCTCTTTCCACAGGCTAGTACTTCCACAAACAACAGAAACCACAAACTCCATCTTGCAATTTTATGTACCTCATTTATTTGGCTCATTTGTCAGCACGCTATCTTTCACCTTGATTGAAGAGAGCCTTTAGCTCAGAACAATGGCAGTGTAATTAATCTCTGGATGATCATTTGCAGGCTTTTGAGTCACCAACATCAGTGGCAAGCCTACAGACAACATTTCATTGGCATTACCAAGAAGGAGAAGTATGGGTACTGTCATTGCTGCAGAACAGAGTCTGTTCCGTAACTTACATTTGCCTTGGGCATGTTAAATTACTTCACCAACAGCTTCACAAAGCAGCAGAGGATGCTCAGAAAATAAGCTGCCAGTATCCTGACAACTGGCTGAACAATTTCCATGGATACTTCTACTCTTACTAAGAGCAGCACTGCAGAACAGGTAGCTAATGGGTAGAGGTCCTCTCTTCAACTTTAGCTCTAGATCAAGTAAGCACATATCACTAAGCAACAAGATAAATGAAAAGTTAGGGCCTTGAGTTTAAGTGGCTAAGCTACATCTACGGAGTTAATGAATCATCCTAATTTGCAAAAGGCTCCAAAGATTAAAACATAAAACAGTCTGCTCATCTCTCTAGCTCAGAGATAAATAACACACAAGTTCAATCATCTAAGAACTCTCAAAGAGACAGCTTGCCTGAGCTTAGTCTGAGTCAAGTATATCAAACAGGAATGCTAAACATCATCTGATTTTCATGCAACTGCTCCAAAGAGCCAGAAAGGCGCCTACAGACCTTGTGGTCGGAGGCCAAAAAATCAGACTGACTGAGGTGGGAAGGAACTCAGCAGGTCATCTGGTCCAAGCCCCCTGCTCAAAGCAGGGCCACCTGGAGCCACTTGCCCAGGACCATGTCCAGATGGCTTCAGGAGATGAAGCCTCCACCTCTTCACAGATGGAGCCTCCACCACCTCTCTGCGCAACCTGTCCCTGGGCTCAGTCACAGTGAAAAAGTGTCTCGCAACATCCAGACAGATCCTCCTGTGTTTCAGTTTGTGCCCACTGCTTTTGGTCCTGCCTCACATCCAGCACCTGAATGCCATACTAAAACTATGAAAAATGCTGCTTCTTAAAAGAGCTCTGCATTGAGGATAAAGAATAATACAAACCGAGACCACTACCTCCTTTTTACTTTAAAAGATCTGAAGCAAAGATCAGACAGCCCAGTTGCTGTGTGCATGATCACCTCCCCACAGAAAACCCCAGACTGCAGGACAGCCTGGTTCCCAAGCCTGCTGATCAGGCAGGCCCAAGAACCCCTGAAAGGCTTGGGTCTTACCAACTGACTCCTCAAAAAGGCCTGTAGGTTTTAGCTTCTACATGAAGACAACTTGCAAAATGTCCCTTCAGAGGAAGCTCTGATTTACAGTTGTCACGGTCATCCTTCCAAAAGGAAAGGGTTTGACAAGCCACTCTCAACATCCAAGAGAAAGTCTGACTGTCTTACAGAGCAGACATCTTTACACTAAGTATTGACCTTCTTGACCAAAATGTGAAAAAATTACTATTATGACAGACCCATGTCGAGTTTATTTGGTATTTCAAGCTGTACAGAGTAGCAATTTCATCTATCAAGTCTACCTGAAGACAAATGGAGTTACACCAAACACATGATAACATTTATGTAAGTAACTTTGTATAAGGTAGTTTGTTCAGGTTTTCTTTTTTAAAATCCTCATTAAGACCTAACTGAAGTAAAACAACAGAGCTCTG